AAGAAACTGACTTCAGACTGTACCTCCCAGCATCAGGAGAAAACCTGAAGCAAAGGACAGCAACCCTCCCAAACAGAAAATGCACGAATAGACTGAAAAAAAGATCTGCACAGCAACATCAGCGCTGCCTCATCTGCAGACATAATAAACACACACTCAGGAAGGGAAGGAAAAACATGGCAGTGAGCCTTTTTTGGGCTTTTTGCTTTACAAACCGACTGGGAAAAGTGCAGAGTGCTGTGTGGGTCGCTGCCTGCTTGTTTTCATTTCCACAGTTCCAGTGCACAGTGAGAGGAGAGACAGAAGCCCCACGCCAGCTACGGAGATGTCTTTCAGCTGGAAGGGGTGGTTGAGGGCAGCTGAGCCAACCCTTCACTCACCGACCTCAGAGAACAGGGCTGCTACTGCTGCAGCAGCAGGTGTAACAGTGGAACTGTTCCCACTTTCGTGGCCCAACTCAAAGCATGCCACCCTCTCCCCCTGCTTCTAGAAGCTGAAGTTCCACCAGCTGCTTATTTAATCCCGACCAGTCCTGGATTCAATCCACAGCCTTTTGGATGAGCTGGAAAGCTGAAGCACATACTGTAAGAAAAATGAAAGCATGATTTGAAAAGTAGATGCTTTCACTCCTCCTCCTCTGCCTGATGCAAACCAGATTACTGAAGTTCCAACTAAAGGGAAATACTTGCTTATAAAAAGAGCAAATTATTTAAACCTATTGCTATTTTTTCGAAGTATAAAGGTGTGACCTTTCTCTCTTATCCTCTCCTCAGATTTACTCTTGCTGGCAGGAGAAAACCAAAAAGACATAGGAAAGCAGAATTCTAAAACGGGGAATAAATCTATCACAAAAGCTTCACTCGTGAAGTCTCTCAACAGAATCAGATGTTTGGATATCTAAACCACAAAGTAACCCTATAAAAGCTACACATGCTTTACTCTCAAAGATGACTAGATTTCTACTAGAGTTATCAAAACATCAAACCTTTGTAACTGCAGAATCATAGAGTCATCAAAGTTGGAAGAGACCTCTAAGATCATCCAGAGCTCTAAGATCATCCATCAACCCAGAACTACCACTGTAACCCCTTAGCCAGTAAAACATATCACCCAGTGCCAGATCCAGATGTCATTTAAGCACCTCCAGGGATGGTGAGTCCATCACCTGCCTGGGAAACCTACTCCAATGCCACCCTAACAGTGATTTTTTTTTTTCTAATATCTAATATGAATCTCCTCTGTCTCAGTTTTAGTCCTCACACTGCAGGTGTGGCAGTACAGGCTGACCCTCACCTCCTTTCCCTTAAAGCTAAAGATCAAAGATTTGATAGACCACCAAACTTCAGTTTAGCATCAAATTTTGCAAGTAGTTTGGAAAGAGTTATTTAAGGCTGGGAAGTACAAGGACTCAGCTCTTCCTGTAAGTTGGTCAGCCTTTATTTTTAGTTTTCAATTGTCAATATTTTTTTCCCCTTCTGTAAAGGAAGTTTAAAGAACTGCCAGTACTTGAAGCTGTATTTACAGGTCCATTGTGATACAAACAGGACTCATAATGTTATGCAGCATTCAGACTACTTCAGCTCCTTCAGCCATCAGGACTTCTAAGAAAAAGAAAAAATGCTAATGCTAATTTAGTTACTGAAGTTGCCACAGGTTTGCTGATCTCATATTACCTGAAAAAGTGCTTGATAACTTGGATCCTTAGGGAACGTATAAGCCAAGAATTACAAATTAAATTTTTAATGCTACTTCCAGATCAACTCTTTGTGGAGTCACTCTGTGGTTCAAAGACACTCCCTTTAAAAATAGCAACTAAATGTCTCCTTTACCAAATTGCACAGGAACAGAGAAGGGGAATAATTTGGCCTTGTTAAATCACAAAAGCCACCGTGTTTCACCTGAAGACTATAAAAAGTTAAACTCAAATCCTACCCGCGCAAATAAAATCAATTCATAGATTAAATCTATGACCTGTGTTTTATGAGTATCAGTCTATAGCAAATGTACTAATATCATGCTTGGTCCCTACCCTGATCTACTGCTTGCAGAAAAAAAAACAACAAACAATTGAAGAAACCTTGTACAGTTCAAAGAACAATCACCTGCAAGGCTTATCTTTCAAGACTGATAATGCATACTAAAGAAGGAAAGGCACACACATTTGCTTTAAAAATTCTGCAGTTCCAGTAAACCTGAAAAAGTTTAATACAACTGAATTATGTGATCGTAAGCCTACAAAATTACAGTCTATCTTGTAAAGAATCAGCCTTTTCCCTCCCAAGCCATTTAGTTAAAATGTTTTCCCCGTTAAAACTTCAAACTTTGCAGAGGGATTGCAACAGCAGCTCCTGTCTTATTCATTATTGATATTAATGAAAGAAAATAGACGTGTATAAGCACAAAGCCAGTGGTATTAAGAACAGATTCACACCAAGAGTGAAATGAAAATGGAAATGGAAACTGGGAAGATGGCTGGGTTTTGGAGTGTGAACCAACAGGTAAGCATGAAATAAGGGGAAGAGGAATAGTCACTACCACCAACTAACTAGCACAAAGAAGCCTTTAATTAGCAGCTGCTCATTAAGCAGGTCTGTGAGTCTTTCAAGACTGCGAAGTTAAATTTGTAGAAAGCAAACACCTGCTGGGCCGAGACAGCAGCCAACTCTGAAATACTTTTAGGCTCAGTTACATATCTGGATTCCTATCTATCCTGGTCTAGATATCCCTTGGATTCCTATTTAAGACCATATTGAATAAGAGCAATGGCCTATTGCTCTTTTATATATATATATATATATATTGAAAAACAGAGGCCTATCAGCCTCTTACATCAGTAGCCTTTTTCCTATCACGTTGTTTTTTTTCATCTCAAAACTGCAACATTCAGTTTGTCTTTGCTGCCCAGGAATGCACAAAGACAGCAGGAACATGGAACGTTAACGTACAGACCCCAAACATTCTGCACAGAGCGCAAGAATTGTTCTGAAGGCCATTAAATTCTACCAACTATTTTTGTTACCATGTATACTATATTTTCACCAGTCGTGTATGCTGTTTAGGTGACAGAATGTATTTTTATGGTGAGTATTCAAGATGTGGGCCAGATGAAGCACACAAGAGCCTGTTGAATCCCAACCCTGATCCTGTAAGTTGACACTTCTGCACTGTAGGAGCAGCTAAACAAGAAAATACGAGCCACCTGGATGATGGAAGAAGAAGAAGAAGAAAATATTAAAGCAAAAATATTGTGGTCCTGAGCTAGCAAGAGCTAAGATTAGTGTGTGTGTAAAAAGAATCACAAGGTCAAGCTGGAAAGCCGCTTGAAGCATGATTGTTCTCTGTGGCTGAAGGCGGTCATGGGAGTGTCTGTGTGGTATGTCTGCAGATAAGTAACACCTGGCCTAGCTTGATGGCTCAGACCTTTATTGTGTATATAAATGGATTAATAAAGCTGCAGCAGAGTTCTGCCTGGACAAAGTCTGTCTCCTGTGGATTCACTCACCGCAAAGGGTGCTGAGTGAGGGATTTTTGCTGCACCGTGCTACACTTCTACTAATGTGTTCTGAGTAAAAATAAACCCCTGAAACACACGACAGCACAATACCACCTGTGAAAAGTTTCTCCACTTGTGGTTTCCTCAAACTGCATATAAAAGACCACCACCTACCGTAACATCACTGAAGTCTTTTAGTGGATATTTTTAATGGTAATGGGCAACATTGTTTTTCATCAGTACTGAAAGAGTGAAGACTTAACAGGCCTCAGTTCTATGAAACCTTTCTGAAGGAGAAAATCACTGAGGCTATGCCCACAGCCTAAAGCAGTGGGTCTTACAGGAGGTGAATTCCTCCCAATTCCAACATGCCATGGGGATGTACACCTCAATGGTTATATAATTTGCCAGTCTTGCCAGACTCCTGTTTAATTATTTCTGCTTAAAAGTTAGTCACTCTTGCTTGAGGCAATGCTCTGTTTTCTCTTTACAGTTGTGACTACCTTCTGTTTTCTCTCTCTTGCATGCCCCTCTCTTATGCTCCCTGTGGGGACAAAAAGAGCCAATGCAGTCAGGCTGCAGAGGGATGGGAGACCCGACACCGAAAATACCTTGTCCTCAGGGAAGTAAAAAACACCAGAGGCCTTGAACAGGACATGCCCTACAGACTGAGACACTGTAGTAGAGCCACTAGAACACAAGAAGTAGGAGGAACTGCGGTCATTTCACTCTATCCCCCATCATTTGCCTACTGCCTCCTAGCTACAGCGCGGGGAGCATCAGTGCAATTGCAAGAGGGTTACTGGAGGCTGTGTTCCCTGCTGGCTGCCCTGCCCACCGCAGCCAGAGGCAACAGTTTCAAAGAAAGGAGTACTTACGACACTGGCATGCTGCGTGAGGAAAAGGGACTGGATGAAGGCACCAGTTTCCCGCTTCACTCAGCCAGTGAAGCCATGTCAGAACCCACACAGATACGCGATTTTGACGTCTTTGAGGCTTATTAAAAATAAACAGGGTCACTGGGACTCGGAAGAGAGTTGGGAGGTATTACTGGACTACCTCACTCCTGTGTGAGGTATTTAGATCCTAGTATGGTGCCTGTTACTGGCTTCACACAGAAAAGATTCTACGCAGTTGTACCCGGTGCCGATTAAGATGGAAGTGAACAGCTCATTGTGATGAATTCCAAAAGAAGCAAGTAAGTCTTTAGGAAAAAAATGGAAGCGATTAGGGCTTACTAATTAAACTCCTCATACATTCACTCTAGGCAAGTTAGATCACTTGCAAGTAACAAGCAAGGCTCCTTTTTAAGAAAGGAGCCTCAGTAAGTCACTCAGTAATCACAAGTTAAAATACAAACCATAAATACATAAACCATATGATCTAAGCCAACATCCAGGTTGTGGCTCGCTTCTCTTGTTGTGCTGTCATCTGAGAACTCAAACCCTAACATTCCTGCTCTTGCCAAGGTGCGTGGGAGAAGAAAAACACTACACATGCTTTCCCATCTGTAAAATAAAAATAATTTATTCAGATAACCCTTAAGAACTCTCTCAAGAATCTCAGCATATTAATGTACAATTAATGACCACTTCAGAAATCCTGCTTTTGGTGCAAAGCATAAATTTTATGGCAAGTGCCACAAGATGTTTTTTCATTACTTCACAGCAGCCTATGATTAACAAGAAACTTACAAATAAATACTATCAGGACTAAGAACAGCATTTAATTTTTATTTAGCTTTGACAAACTCTGGATTGCTGGGAAACAATCTCTGTCTGATCAGAAACCTTTCTGGCTGAAGTAACACAATTCAGCAGTGTACTTTTAAGTCCTGTAGAAATATTAGTATATCCCACAGAAGATGTGCATGATGATATCACAGCACTCAATAAAAACGATGAGTTGACTTCAGTCTCTGTTGTCTTGGTAACAATATTTAACTGTTTCCAAAATTTAGCTTTAAAACAAGGATACACTGTTGGTTGGTTTTCAGAGATGTCATTACAGGATATTAACTTTCTGGGGAGAGGGACATATTTTCCTCAGGATTCTTGCTTTTTTGTTGGTTTATCTAAGTAAGGAGTGTTGTCTTGTAGAAGATCTTTCCTGGGTATGAGCACTGTAATAGAAAAAAAACCAGTAAGACCATAATCTTATGGAAAATACTATTTTGAAGTTGTTTTTACACTAGCAAACAAAAAATTAGGATCTCATAAGGATCATGAGGATCTGAACTTTGGTTTTATGGTGAGGATCTGAATGAGGATTTGAATTTCTGTTAAGTGTACAAGCAGCATCATGACTTCTACCTAAGAAAAAGTTATGCTAAGATTTTTACCTTCACTTGGTCACAATAACGCCTTCCCATTTTTCCTTTTAAGAGCATTGAAAACTTTAATAGCACTAAGAAGCCATAAAAGAAATGGCAAAGCCTTGCAGTAACTCTTAGCAGGAAAGTGAATGGCAATTTTATCAAGCCTGAGTCATGTTTACTTCAATAGTCTCAAAAATTAATACTGAATTTGACTTAGTCTGCTCCCCCAAGTCCTGGAATCTGATCTGTACTATTTATCCTGTCACAGCTCTTTTAAAGGCCAAGAGGAAAGGAAAGTTATTGCCACTATATTGTCACAGAACTGACTATACTGTCACAGAAGTGCACTGTGTTAGGGTTTGCCTAAATACACACCATTTTAACCCCTTCCTGACACCTCAGTTCTTGCTGTCTAACTTGTCAGAATCAGCTTGTCTTTTTTTCATGAAGTGAAGGTGCTGTGTCATGTGGGATTTGCTCCAGCAGCAAAAACTAAATCACAAACACCTGAAATCATAGCACTGTACTTTGACTACGCCAGGCGGCTGCAAGAGATGCAGTAAACCTGCAAAACTGTGTCTCTGTGTGTGCAATGAGTAACATGCTGTCCAAAGTGCACTGATATCCCTCACCTTCTGAGAAAAAACCTGATTTTCTTGAGGGTATGCTCTTTTTGCATCTAAGTACTGATACTGATGCCATTAATAAATTTCTAAGAGCTTTAAGTAAAATTTCCATTACATTTCTCTTAGATAAAATCAGTAGGAGTATAGGTATGACGAAACATGTGGATCTACATGCCTAGAACAAATACAGAAAAAACCCAGAACTGGATATAAAGCACTGAAAAGCAAAAGTACGAACAAATAAAAATTGAAAGGAGAATTTTAAACCTTCCTTTTCAAAGCTAAGTTTTGAACATACATTGCCAACACACCAAATCAAAATCAGCACATATTGCATGTCTGATATAACACTAAAAAAGTAAGCTCTACTTGTCTCATCTTAATCAGAAATTAAAGCAAAATGAAAAGACTGAGACATTTGTATACTATCGAGTAATGTAACTAAACATTAAAAAAAATCAGAAAAATTGTCTAATATAACTAACAAGCTCCTAATTGAAATTGCCTTCCCTTTAGTAAGAAAACCTCAGCCTATTTTTTTCTCCAAGATTTACTAATGAATCTCAACACGACTGTACACCACTGTGCCTCAAATCCCTTTTAGACAATAGCAGTGCCCTGTGAACTGATTCTGTGACAGCACAATAATTTAATTGCACTAGGGAAGATGTTCCCCCTTGTTTTTTTGTGTTCTCACTATGAGAAGTCTTCAGCTTTTTTTCTTCTGTGGAAGACTTGACACTGGTCTGGACATATCTTCGGGCCTCATCATGACTGTCATTTTAACGTTAAATGCTCTACCAAACCTAGATCTCACAGCTGTTACAAAACTTTACAGACAAAACTAAACAGAAGTGAAAGGAAACAATGTACTCAGGTGAAGATTTTCCCTGTTCTCTACCACACACTTGTGTGCTTTCTCTAGTGTTTGACTGTAAAATAAAAGAACTTCTAAACTAGGAATCAAAATTTCAGAATTGGATAGACTTTGCATCAAGGCCATCATTGTGTCACAGATCTTCCACAGCACAATCTGAACCTGAAATTGCTGGAAAAAGGTTTTGGGAGAGAACACTCAATCCTCAAAAACACTCAAACACTCAAATCCTCAAAAAGCTATTCTATGAACAGTGTACACACTGCACTTGCTAATTCTCCTCAGGCAGCTTCCACCCACTTGGCAGAGCAAGCACCCACACACAGATACTGTGGCTACTACATTTACATACACACTGCATGTGTGTAACTGCATGTAACCTGTACTTGCATGCTGACCTGCTACCCAATTGCTGTCCCTCCTAAGAGTTATAGCTAGTTAAATAGTCATAACTTCTTCCTCTCATTAGGGGCATTAAAAGTAGTCACCGCCTCTTTTCCACCAGCCTCCATATGTCAAAGTATTTGTGTAAGAAACTTTGTACCTTTGAAGCCTCCACCTGTCCCAGGTGGTGACATTAACCAACAGCTTCCATTAAGCTTTTGGGTGAAGAATAACAGACAATTTGTCTCACTATTCCTTTACTTATTTTCACATTCTGTATTTATTTACACAACTACAACATTTTTAAACATCTTTTTAGCATGCACACTGACTTACCTATTTTGTCAGAATCTGTATGAACTGCCTGAATAACGGAAGTTCTGAGAATCAATTCAACATCTGTAGCTATTTTCAGAAGCTAGCAAAAGGAACAAAAAAGGCACAGAAAACACAACAGAGCAATTTAAATTATATGTGATTATTCCTGAAGATATTTTCCATACCAGACAACTATTCAAATAATAAAGCCAGTCAGTTCTATTATTCAGTTAGCTATCTATATGCAGCTTTTGCCTTGGGGATCCTGGAATAATTTACAGATTGATATATAAACTACTCTGATACACAGATGAGAGAAGGAAACTTCAGCTCAGTAACATACAGCAGAATATATAATAAAATTGCAAGCAAACAAGGTAAAATGCAACCACAGAAACAACTAACTAGCTTCCAATGATCAAAGACATTTTGAATGCCTGAATAACATTTGCCCTAGTGAAAGAGCAATCTCATTCTTTTAACACTACTGCTCTTCAAACAAGGAGAAAAAAACAAGGGCAAAACATGACAAGAATTAAGAATACTGAGGTTTCACAGAAAAGCAGTACAAGAACAAGGCACTACCTAAGATTAGCAGAGGCATTAGTATTTGGCAAAAGGCCTGGAATTCCTTCCCTCATTAAGACGATAAGCTGAAGCACCCTTGCTAGTTGTTTTGCTGCACCATTAAGAGAACTTAACGCTTGTTTGCATGATACTTGTGTAAGAAACAAATGAAATTGCACAAGTGAGACACTTTAGGAGACATGCTTATACTAGAAAGTAGTGTGAACCAACAGAAGAGGATCCCTGCAAAGGTTAGAGCTCAAGACTTGACATCTACACTGCACTTCTCCTCATGCCTTTCCCTTTTAAGGGTTTGGAGCAGGTATCCTTCAGATCTCCCTACTGAAAGGCCAGTAGCAGCCAGGCTGCATGCTCCTGAAGCACACCTTCCCCTTCAGACTGATCTCAAAGGAATTTCTGCCATTTGCTCTGTCATTGCTTTACAAAGCAAGACACATCACAGGAAGTGGAGATAACCAAGGTAACTTCAGAAGTGCAGTCCGGATCTGAACTAAAACCACTGCACTGGATTCAGCTACCATGTCTCACATTCTCATACTGCACACAGTTACTTTGATCTCCCTAAGATCACTGCACACTTGGTATGTACAAGTATGTACTTGATGTCATACTAGAATACGCTGCAGCTTTCTATTCCGGCAGACTAATGCACATTTGGATCTTCAATATTGAATTTTTTAGCTGCTGTCCAAAGCAGAAAGCTAACAGCACCGTGTTTATGCAAGCAAGGGCCCAAACTCTCCCAAGTCCTGTATATCATTCGATTCAGTTCTCCTGCAACCAAGTCTTTTCAGTGTGTGTATAAAAATATATATATGTATGTATATATAATAAATCTGACAGCTTCTGTGATGTTCTACGAGTGCGCAGTTGGGATGAAAGCCTAGCATTTCTCTGACTGACACATTTAATCAAGTATCAACTAACCCACTTTAAAAAGTTACATGTGTGTTTTGTAGGTTGCCAATTCTAAAAAACACAGATTTAAAAATTACAGCAAGTATTTTTCCTGAACATCTATTAAAAAAAACCCAACCCAAACCACATAGCTGAGCTGATCAGATACTGGGAACACAAACACAGGGTATTACTACTGGAAGCTGACAACAAGCAGAGATGCAGAAAGTCCTAACTAAATGGTCAGGACTATTTTTGTTACTGTCCAGTGGCTGGTATGAGGAAAAGGTTTATTTCTGCAAGGGATGAATGGAGGCACTTTTGTCCAACCCGTGCCCAGTGACAATGTAAATACAATCTGTTAAAAGGCTGAATTACAAGGACTAAGTTAGTCAGTCTGTATAGATGTTAAGAACTAAAATCACCTAAAATACAGAAGTTTCATATCATGCCTCAGTTAAGTTTTAGAAAAATGACTCAGTAAAAAGTGTAAAGAGGGTAATTGAGCAAAGGTAACTAACTTAGTTAACAGAATGTTCTGCTTTTAATGCACCATGGGGAATGAAGAAGCAAAAAATCCCTGTGGTATAATTAATACCTCTATACTACAGTCTGTCATAATAATTTTGCTGGTTTTTGCCTCCCACAAAAGATGCTGACTCATTTGTGATCTGCCAGTAACTGAGCAGATTATTTAATTTCTCTGTATCCTTCTGTGCTTGTCTACACAATGGCCAGGTAAACTCAAGTGACCACAGCTCAGAAAGATGTTAGAGCAAAGTACAAAATATTTATATGAAAATAGCAATTGTAAACATTTTCCCCATAAGTTTATTACAAACATCAAAATAATCATGTTGAACTGTCAGAAGACACTTTCTGCTTATGCATTTTTGTATGTGCAAAAATTCTCATTGATACCATTAGAAGTATTTATATATTTATAAACAGAGATCCATGCAGCAGCTTTTTCAAACTAAGCTGGCTCTCATGACGTCCCAATGTACCTCCACTGATTTAAGGATTCTTTAAATAAAAAGGTCATTTATAAGTATTCTTCCTCAAATTGGAAAAAAAAAAAAGAAAACAAGCACCTCATTTATCTTCTCCTCAGATGTCTCATCTTTGTTATTTCTGAATTCTTCATTTATCTTTTGTCTTGCAGCTAAATAAAGGAAACAAAAAAACCAAAGAGTGAACAAAAATCGTATCCTGTGCTTTTCATTGCCTCAAAGCTCACAATCTTAATTCATATATTCCACCTTCCTGTGACACTCTGCTTGAAGTATTTCAATGTCAGATTTCCTTGCAATTCATGTGATGTCATATTTTAAGTCGATTGGTATAGGAATAAAATCAGATTCCCTGTCTAGCATTCTGAACTATGTACAGAAGTTTGTTTACTTAAAAAACCAGCACTTATCCCTTGAGGAGAAACCATACACAGACAACTAATTCAAATGTTCAGTACAGTTAAACATGCTTTGGCTGGACTGAAGAGAGGAAGTTTAAAAATAAAAGAAAAAGAAAAAAAAAATTCCCAGGAAGATTAGCAGGGTTCAAAAAAAGAGATATTTCCCTTACAAAATACGGCTTGAGTGCTTGAATCTAATAACCATTTTTTTGTTTCAAATTAAAGGATCTCTGGTTACTTATTACAAGTTCTCCCAACAATTACTTAAAAATATGGAAGGGAATGACGTAAGGAAAAATTATGTTAGGAATTCTCTGTGTATTTGGAGAAGAAAGGTCCACGGAAATATGGGTAAGCACACACCAAACAAGCATCTCACCTTCAAGGGCTCTGGTATCATTTTTAAAAACTTCTTGCCGTGTTCGGTGTAGCAACTTAAAAAGCTTCAAAACCTGCCAATACAACAACAATAGAATTAACAATTAACTTTTTTGCTGAGCAGGATTCTCAGGTAAAATTAACATGTTACAACTAAAAATGTTTCGGCTGAAAATTCATGTCATTTCCATTTAATAGAGAATTAAACAGAATCAAATCAATATCTAAGATATTTTACTTCAATTCCTCATAAAAAAAAAACTTGCAGCCAAACTAGATGTGACAAAATCAAAATCCCAGACATTTCAAGTTCTGGACATTTCAATCTAAGATGTTGGCATTGCATTCCTAAGTAATTATTTGGCACGATAGGCATATAATCCTGAATATACACGGACACAAACATATTTATTGTGCTGATGTCAAATAAAGCCAACAGAATTGGAATAACACTAAATGTCAAGTTACTTGAAGGTACTATCAAGGGTACCTCAGTGGATATTTTCCAATTATTGAAAAAGGTAGAAATAGAGATAACTATAGTATTCTTACACTTACAAACCAATTTGAGAAAAGTGACTTTCAAAAGGATCTGAAACTGTGCATTAACTAATTCAACAATTATTTTCCATGACTCTGTGCGATACCTGGGCATAATTTTCTACAGGTGGTGTAGTAGAACCAACACAAGGCAAAGCCCTTCCTTTAAATACAACTGCCAGGTCAGCAAACAAAAACTTCAGTAAAAGCAAACACTCAAAAAATTAGGACTTAAACGTAGAGAAGACACACCTCAATATGTATGAAAAGCAAAACCCCTGAGAATCACAGCTCACAAACACGTGGTTTTGGCTGTTCACTCATACAGACTACAAGAAATTACAGAAATCCTCAAGTCCTTATGAGACTTTTTCGGTGTTTGTCAGAGACTGAAAAGAATCTCTGACAAGCACCAAAAAAACCCACCTAATCTTGATAACAAGATACCTTTTGAGGCTCTTTCTAGTACTTCCTAGCATGTTTTCGCATCTCTAGAAGGCACAATCCAGGTACTTCATAATAATATTAAATTGTTTTCTCACAATTAGTATTCCAAAAATTTCTTAGAAGGATATGGAGGAAATGCAGGGCTGTAACTGTGAAACGACCACCTCCTTTATTGGTATGTTCTGTATCTGAGCTGGAGAGGCAAACAAGACTGTCCTCTAAAAGTAAAAAGCAAATAAAAACATCGTGGCAGGGCCCTGACAAAAGTGTTGTCTCTGCTTTAAGTCTGCCGATGACAGAAATGGTGATCTTCTCTGAAAGCTACTGTTTTCAACTGATGTCAACACATTTTTAGATTTTCAAGCTAAATTCTCATCCTTCACTCAGCTTGTCACTTGGCCACACCTTGAGAGAATTCATTCAGAAGTGTGCACACACAGAAAGACAGCTTTCAGGAAAAGGAAAAAGACATAAACCGGTAAGTACATGCAACTTTCCAGTTCAGTGCTGCTTCTTCAACCTGCTCAACTTTAGTGCTACCAAGGGACAACTACAAATCTCACCTCACCATGTGGATTAGGCCACATCACAACTTTTAGTGTAAGGTGATTCAGCATGCTGAGAAGTATATGCAACTGCATAACAGATCTTTCTGGAAAGAGGGCAAATTAGTGCATTGTCAATTGTCTCATGAATGTTCAAGTGAAAAACCTTTTGTCACTTTCACAAGAATTAGTATGAGACTTCACAATCAGTTAAATCAATCTCAGCAGAAACATATAAAAAAAGAACAGTGAGACTGCTAACTCCTTTTCAGCTTCTGGGTGCTTAATAATTAGCAGCTGAACAGAACCATGTTGCCCTTAATAGCAACGTTCCACAGATGGGTTAATCTGTGGAAAGTAAACTCACAGAATTAGAACGCAGCAAATAAATATTTTGCTTTGTAGATGTATTTTAACACATTCAACTACATTCCTTCAGGACATTCTGAAATATTTCTACCCCATAATCTTCTCACCATCTTTGTAAATACTGAATAAATACTACCAGTCGTTTTGTGTTGAAGATACATAAGGTGAAACTTGGGAGTCTTTTATGGTTTTTTTAAACCCCCTGATGAGCAATTTTCAGGCACCTTCTCACCCTCATAGCAGTTTACAGCTTCCTCACAAGGGGAAGAGGACGGGCAGGCACTGATCTCTTCTCTATGGTGACCAGAGACAGGTACCCAGGGAATGGTCTGAAACTGTGTCAGGGCAGGTTTAGGTTGGATATTAGAAAAAGGTTCTTCCCCCAGAGGGTGGTTGGGCACTGACCAGGCTCCCCAGGGCAGTGGGCACAGCACCAAGGTTGCCAGAGTTCAAGAAGCATTTGGACAATAGTCTCAGGCACATTATGGGACTCTCTGGGAGGCTCCTGTGCAGGGCTAAGGGTTGGAATCGATCATCCCTGTGGATCCCTTCCAACTGGGCATACTCTTACTCTGTTTCTGCACATCCCTCCTGGGCAGTTTTCACCACCCCAGCCACAGAGCAGTTGCACTGGATGACCGTGATCAAGATACCTTAATGCAGACTCCTCTGACCTCACCAGCCCCCCACTCAAACACAGAACTCCCCAAACACCTCACTGCATCAGCGCTCCCAAACCAGGCTTCGGAACTGTGATATATAAATAATTGTGATTCGTGAAACAAATGGGTGATTACATCAAAATAAAACAAACGGATTGTAAAACTTAATTACACACCCATAAAGAAATAAAACAGACCCTTACAAGGTCAAGAGGCCTAAAACCTCCTTACTATCCTAAGAATAAAATATAGCAGAACTTTAAATCTTTAGGCGCCTGTTCGTCCAAGAATGCATGAATTATGACTGGTTGTAGAGATAACCCTTTTAGCTTTAGCTGTAAGAAAACCCATATATTAGATACTTAGCAAAAACCTGTAGAATGTATATGCATATGATCTAATTAATATGCATGAAGTAGCTAAGATAAATATTAAATGTACCCTGTAGTAGGGGTGTGCAGATTTGGGAAACTGGTCCCATTTCTGTCACCCAGCCGGCTGCTTGCTTTTACCATATAATAAACTATTATTCGAAACTTACAGAAACTCGAGACTTTGTTTATCACAGGAACGCTGCTGAAAAAGGTGCTCTCGATCCTGACACTACCATACACCGCGCATACGGAAAGTTTAAATATTTCTTCACTCTTCGCTTTTCTTCACCTTACCCTCACGAGTCGTGCTTTCCACGCATTTTAACCTCCGCTTATCCTGCCTCCATTCCATTTCCCACAGCGGCCTTCGCGTGGAAACCCCCTCCCTTCCTTTCCCCTAGCTTCGCGTCCTCCTCGTCCTGACAGCCTTATCTCTTTCGACTCCCACAAAGGCCGCAGAGCTCCAACCCGCCCGGAGAACTCCCGTGAGTACAGAACGTGTGTGTGACTCGCCTGCCCGCGGCTCCCCATGGCGGCCGCCGTCCGCGGGGACGGGCCGGACCCGGCCCGGGAAGGGAGCGGGGAAGTGACGGAGCGGGGAAGAAGTGACGATGCTGGGAAGTGACGATCCGGGAGGACCGATCCTGGAGGGGACGATCCCGGACGTGCCGTGCCGGGTGCTGCTGCCGCCCGTGCGGTTGTTGGATATCTCCTGTGAGGGAGACTCCACCACCCCTCTGTGGGCCGTCGGTTCCAGTGCTCGCTCACACGCGCAGTGAAGGTGTTCTTCCTCATCTTCAGGTCGAGCTCGCCGCGCATCAGTTTCTGCCCCTTGCCACTTGTCCTGTACCGTGGCACCACCAAGAAGAGCCTGGCTCCATCCTCTTGGCACCCCTGCTTTAGGTGTTTATGCACATGGATGAGATCCCCTCTCAGTTGTCTCTTCTCGAGGCTGAACAGGCCCAGCTCCCTCAGCCTTTCCTCATAAGAGGGATGCTCCAGTCCCCCTAGCCTCCCTCGTTGCCCTCCGCTGGACCCGTCCCAGGAGCTCCATGTCCCTCTTGTCCTGAGGAGCCCAGAACTGGACACAGCACTCCAGATGTGGCACCACTGGGACTGAGTAGAAGGGCAGGGTCACCTCACGTGGCCTCCTGGCAATGCCCTTCCCGATGCACCCCAGGACACCACCTTATGTGACTCTCGGGGAAGCTCCTGTGCAGGGCTAAGGGTTGGAATCAATCAAATCAATCATCCTTGTGGGGTGCCTTCTCCTTTCCCAGACTATTTTTTTCACCTTTACAGAAGGAAAATTGTGGCTGCAGCTCCTTGTTTCTGCGCTTATCAGTGGTATCTCAGGATGTTTCTGGTTCCTAGGTCCCCAGCTGTCCTTAGAAGGGGCCAGCTGCACTTTCCAAGGACACTTTTGGTTCCCAGGATCACAGCTCCCAAGCTGGCAGGCTTTTTTCTCTGCTGGTGTTTTCCAACAGGCATTTTCTTTTGTTCAGTCATTTTCCCTTTCTAGTCAGGTCAGTTTCTCGGCTGCTCACATCAAGCTCCCCACAGCCCTGCCCTGCCTCAGGGACCAACCCAGCCTTGGCCCAATCATACCATGGCCACGTCCAGTACTTGTATAAAACTCAATTGCCATTCTCTAGAAAAACAAACAAGCTTATATTTCAATAACACCTCACCCAGCATTAGCTAAAAGCAGCATAAAGATTTTCTGTGTAATCAGCTTCACTGCTCACTAGATCTCTGGCTTCAATACCTAGCCTGTTTAATTGTTTAATTGCAATTACATTGGAAGATAATGGAAAAAGCGGAACACTAAACTATTACTCAATAATTTTCATATCATTATTAGTTATTTATGAGTTATTAATACTTAATCATAAGCATTTATTAAATACTTATCTTGGACATAATACTTATCTTGGACATAAGCATTTATTAAATACTATCTTGGCCCCATAAAGAAACTCATTCTGTTAGCAGGAGAATGTTTATTCATAGATTTATTTTCAGGAATAATTACTGGGAATAAATGAATTAAACTCTTTGAAAAGACCTTGTTTTATTTCAAATAGTATAACATTTGCCATTTACATGGTGAGACAAAAATATATGTTGAAGTCAACTATATGAAATAAATGCTTTTTGCTTTCTCAAACTTCTAGAATTGTCTTTTGTGTTTTCTCTTAGCATAGAAATATGCTTTCTAGACTGATTCCACTGCAGCCTTTGGAACTACTTAAAGTACACTAGCATGTGCAAATGGATCCTGAACAAGTATTTATGTTTTTAACTTTTTAATCTGTCTAGTTAGTAATATCAGATCTGTTCTTTCACAAAGTACGTTTAATTCCTGAGAAAATAAAGGAAAAAAATTAATCATATATTTACTGAATAACCACGGTTAGGCAACAATATAAATCAAAGCAATTTGTCCTGGAAGCACCAATTCCATCTTTGTTTTAGTTGTCATAAAGCTCCAATACCATCTGTAGGACAGACACATGTCAAAATATCCTCGTCCAAAACTACCAGCTGAGGAACAGAGTATCATCCCAGTGTTTAACGTGCTTTACCAGAGCTTTGTTTAGGGTATCTCAGACTATTTCAGAGTTACTACCAGAAATATTTGACAAATTCTGCTCTTTTTGTAACAAGTTCAGGTAATCAAATGTGGAACCATATTAGGTTTAATCCACTTAGCAGTGTTTATCCGCTGCCTCTCTCCAGAATGCTTTCCTGGGAGACTTGTGTCAAGAGGCAACTGTATGTAAATGTCTATGTTAAAACCTTCCTAGACAAAGCTTGAGGGAAATCAATCTTATTTTATCTGTGAAGTTCAGAATATCATACAACCATGGAATGGTCTGGATTGGAAGGGATCTTAAAGATCATCTAGTTCCAACCCCTCTGCCATGAGGAGGGACACTTTTCACTAAACCAGTTTGCTCAGAGCCCTCTCCAGCCTGGCCTTGAACACTTCCAGGGATGGGGCAACCACAGCTTCTCTGGGCAACCTGTTCTGATGCCTCACCACTCTCACAGTAAAGAATTTCTTCCTAATATCCAATTTAAACCTGCAATCTTACAGTTTGAGGCCATGAAGCAGCACCGTGAACTTGGTCTCGTTAAACCACACGAAAAGGAAACTTTGTTTTTGCTCTTATTTTTTTTTTTCCCTACTGCCCTTTCATTTCTCCTATTTCATGACTGCTGTCATGTCTATAGAAAAAGCATTTACGACTAGATGTATAGCTGTGCAACATTATGTTGTCCTCTGTAACTTACTAGTCATATTGATTAGCCTGTTTCATGGTCAGGAAATTACTGATGTGCAGTAGGGCTCGCACATTAAACTGCTGCTCTGCGAGAACCATCCCGGCAGCACCCGAAACCCGCCAACTTGTACGGAAAAGCCTAGCGGCAGCCCTGCCCAGAGCAGTCTGCAAGGGGAAGTCCCAAGAAGTCACACAGACACTGGGGTTGGGTTTGACAAGCAGTATTTCTCGCTACAGCAGCCTCTCCTGCCAGCGCACTAACTCCGCAGACGCGTTTCACTTCACAGCTCTGATCCCTCCGCGGCAGCCGCCGACAACCGCGCCCGGGGATCCCTCCGCGCCCAGCGGGTCAGCCGGGAGAGGAAGGGGGGGCGCGCCAGCTCGGTGGGCGGTGACGGGCGGGAAGAAAGACAGGCGAAGCGACCAATCGGCGAGGCGGGCGCGGCCGGCGGCGCAGCGGCGGCCCAATGAGCGCGGCGGGGGCGTGGCCGCGGGGGGCGTGCGCGGTGAGGGCCGGCGGGAGCCGCGCGGGAGCGGCCGCCATGGCGGACGAGATCAGCAAAGCGCAGGCGGCGCGGCCCGGCGGGGACACCATCTTCGGGAAGATCATCCGCAAGGAGATCCCCGCCAACATCATCTACGAGGACGAGCAGGTGCGCGGCCGCCACCCCTCCCGGCCCCCTCCCCTTCTCCCGGGGGCGCGGGGGTGCCCTGGAGGCGCTCGGGAGCTCCGTCGGGCTCCCGGCCAGGGGACCAGGGTTCTCACGGCTGGCGTGGGACAGCAGCCGCGAAACCTGAACCACCCGCAGGCAGTCTCCGTGCGGGCTCCGGGCAGTGCGCCGTAACTGGGTTGCTTTAACTTGTCCCTCGTAGCCTCACAGAGGTTATGCAGCTCCGCCCGCCAGGCCTTGGCTGCGAACCCCTGGGAGGGGTTGTTAGAGGGAAAATTTAAAGAGAATTGGAGCTTTTCAAGCTCTTATTAAATTAAATAGCACTGCAGGCAGCAAAAGTCGGTTCCAGCGGTGAGGTGGGACTGGTAGTATTCAGCGATGCTGGTGCATCACAGCGTGTTAGAGGCTAAATGAAATAATCAGTGCAGCGACTGTCTCCAAGCTGTAAGCTAACTAGTATTCAATGTAAACACCCCTGCCCCCTTTCCCTCCCCTTCACATTGAAATGCAGGAGGCGTCATTAACAGGGGTCTTTTGCTTTTTGCTTTTGAAGTGAGGGGTTGTTGTCAGTGTGGAATGCAGGCTCGCTGAGGATGTCAGATCCATATGCTTGGGAGAGTCGATACGGAAACGTAGCAGTTGCCCTCTTCTCTCAAGAATATTGGAAATCTTCACTGCCTTCTGAAAATCACGCTTATGTTACTGCTCTGTGTTTGTGTGAGGGTGTGCATTCTTTCTTCACCTGGGTCAAAGAGGTTTTTTCTTCAGCTGCCGTGGCTACCGCAGAGTAACCAGAGCACTCTTTGATTGACTTAGAGCATATAACCCACTCTTGACAGCCGTTAGTCCACAATATTTTCTGGAATAGTAATTACCTTCAGTGCCTTGGTTGATTTTTACCTTAACCTGAACAGAAATGTAGAATTTCTTTTAGAGTTCATTTGAATAATGGGGTATCTTTTAATTAATTGTCTTGACTCCATCAAGGTCTTTTTAAATATGGCTGGAAATGTTAAAAGGAGAAGGGTGAAGAAGTCTTTTAATCATTAATTGACATGCAGAGAAAAGGGCATACCAAAAAGTACAAAGTCTCTGTGAAATTATGCTTTATCACTGTTGTTCCAGTCGAATCTAAACTTGCTGAACTGAAGATTGGTTTACCATGCACTCCTGGACTTCCTGTGATTGTGCTTTTTGCTCAATATTGCTTCTGCTTTTTGTCCCAAAGAAAAGTATTTACTGCTGGTCTTCTGCTCTTTAAATTCTTTGACACAGTTTGACCATTTACATTCTGCCTCTGCATAGGCCACGTGTAATAGAAAAACTGCTTACAAAGTGATCAACTCCAAGTAAGATTTGCTTAATTGTGTGCAAATTAGTTTTGTTGATCGATTATTTGCTTCCTGTCCTTCTCTGTTTGGGAGAGGCGAGCGGTTCCTCAGAGATTCAAAACTGGGTAGTATCTTCTTAAATAGAAATGAAAGTATCCAGGAAATAAATATTTTGAAGAGTCTGTGTGTTGGTTTTTGTGACATAACCAATGTTACATGTGAAGGGTAAGTAAGAGGTGTCCTTGGACAGATGATGGCAGAGCACATGCTGCAGCTCTGCAGATTGTCCTGGTTGCAGTAGCAAGACCCAGTTCTGTGGTTGGCCATTTGTACAGAGACATAGCTTCTTTTTATCTTTCTTTGCTTTCTCTTTTATTTCTCTTACCTATTGGCAAATTCCTAGTTTGAGGTTTATTTGATATTGTTAGGTGCTGCTTTCAGTTTCTGATTGGTAGTAATTTTGGTATTTGCATAACTTTAGTTGAGAGTCAACTATTCACTGCTGATAGTTGTTCATATTTCGAAAGTGATGCCTGTCCCTC